CTGGAACACCTTAATAGAGGGGAAGAAACTAGGAAAAGCTCAATGCTCACCAATATTTTGAGTATAAAATAATCACAATACTCACCTCTCAATACTACTCAGTCCATCAATTAAAAAAGCAATCATATTTGATTACAACAGCAATAAACTCACCTTTCTCTCTTCTTGGAACTGAAATCAACTTCAAGTTTGGCATAAACTTTACTTGCCAATTTGGTGGCTTGATCATTATTCGGGTGAGCCTTGGATATAAAAACAATAAACCATTCCCGTTCATCATTCTGGACAATTAACTTTAGGCGCGGTTTAAGGATGGTCTTGAACTCATCAAGATCCTAATGAATAAAGACAAAAAACTGTTAGTTAACTATAAGATTAGCAGCATACAATCAAACAGATCATGGTTTGGTCTTATGATAACGATAATACTACCAGCGCATGGAAATATTGATAGAAAAATGTTGTACCAAACAATTAAATGAAACAAGTTTCATTCCTACATTTTCTATCAAAACCTGAAAAATGCTCAAAGACACAGAGCTAGCTACTTTCTCAATCTGCATAAGTTAGTAAGCAAAGTACCTTTACAACTATCTAGTACAAAAGATGTATACAAATCTGACTTCAGACATTTAATAGCATAATAGTTGTTGTCTTCAGAACACAATAGTCATGCATATATTTTATCAAAAATGGATGGCTAAATGGTTCCCCATTTGACAGATATTTTTGCACAGATGATTTTAAAGTAGATCTAAAATAATGGAAGCTTTTGGATCACTGAACCATGTTTCTGATTGAGCTCCACATGTGTTCTTTGTACACACAAAAACATATATCCATCCATATAGAAATACACACACTAGGACAACTCCTCAGCTTTAAAATAATGCAGCAACATAGCAGGTAAAAAAATGAGTAAACCAGCCATTTTATTCAACATAACAAAGCATGTGGAAAAGAACTACAATTGAATTTATAAAAGAAATTACTGAAATTGTTTAACGTAATAGAAGTACAGTTGGCATATATAAATATATATATATATAAACTTTTTTAGAAAGAGACAAATTTTTTATTTTCTTTTTATTGATAACTTGAGGTATCAAGATCTTCAATCAAAGGCACGTGTAGACCCTACAACCAGAATGGCTGGGACTAACAATTGGAGGTTTCCCCATAGGAGTGTATGCATCCGAGGGAATTGAACCAGAGACCTTTGTTTACTAAGCTTCTTATCTTGGCCCTTACTGAGAGTGGACTAACCCATGGTGTTTATAGATACAGATATTATACATTGGTTACGAAATAATACATCAAGATAAGTGAGGTGAAGGAGATTGTATCTTACCTCACAGGTGACAAGGACAGCAGTTGCATATGGCTCCCGGAACCAAAATAATGATTGCTCTTGTGGGAACCGGCTACGAAGCCTCGAGTCTGTGGTTAGTATGAATTCAGCAGGAAGATTCTCTACAAATACGGGATTACGGGTCTTGTTATTTAAGCAAGCTCTTTTAAATGGCAAGTGCTCCTCAAACCCATTCTTGACAGTAGGCCACAAGTCGCTCACATCTTCAACTGCAAATGAGCTCATGGTTAAACTGTTAGATGGGAACACGAAGCAAGGCCAGTGACATAAACCATTACTGCAAAAACACATATTAGCTATCCGTTTCACTTGCTGTAAACTCAATACAGACTAAGAACATGACAGGAATATTTGCAGAAATTGTCAAGGGATCGGTAGAGTAGCAATTAGGCTGTTAATGGGTTCCCAGATTAAGCATAATCATATACTTTTGTAAGATAAGCATAACCATACATGGCTGAGAACACAACAATGATCACAAATAACTAAATGTAACTTGTCATTAAATGAATGGCGAATGCCGCACAAGCTGTTCGATAAAATACAAAAAGCTAATAAATGATTTCTAGTACTGGAACACCGAAACAACAAACTTTGCGCATTGTGCAAAAAAATCGTTCCCATTTATGGAAATTCAATTGAAGAACTACTAGTTCCCGAAAACACTCCGAAACTGACCAACTAAAGGCATCATTTTACAAACAGTAGGATGAAAACTTTGCATTTTCCGCATCACTTTAATTGCTAATTAGCTATCCCCGTACTTGAACAAATACGCATTTTTTTGTTCTACTAGCAAATAGCCCAAATTAACACCTTTAATTACTTACACAGCCCCCAAATCTCAATCAAGAAGATTAGTAACTTCAAATGAGCAATTCATGAACAAAAAGCAGAACAAGAATGGTTAAGCTCGAATTTGAAATTACAAAAGAAAAATGGAACCCAGAAATTGATTAGTATTGTCGAATTTGGAGATTTACCTGCAATCACGAGATGATCGAGGGAATTCTTGATCGTCTGGAACTGAGCAAGGTAGTTCGCCATGTTCGACCTCGATCTATACCAGATGTGTGAAATTCTTCATGATCCAGATATATATATATATATAGAGCGAGAACGAGACCTATACGTACATAGACATATACATATACATGTAGAGAGGGAGCGCGCTGAGTGAGGTGATGGTTGGAAGAGTGGGTTTGCTCTCTCACTTTGTAATGGAGAATTGGATCGAAAATTCTGCAGTGCAACTGTGCAACCCGCTTCTGCACCGGTAGTTCCGTTTATTTTCAACGGTTAGATTTGGATGCTTTGATCTAATGGCTCATAATAAACTTGAAAAGAAACTTTCTTTGTTTTTGTTGTAAGTACTGTGTTTATTTAAGAATGTGACTGTGTAATTTAAATAGAATTTCAGAACAATTTGGAGATCAAGTTTTTATAGGATTTGTTCTACTTGTAAGGCGAGAAAATAATTAGTATAAATAAGGATATTAGGCATGAAAAATAACACTTACAATTTATCAAGTCCTCTGTCATTTCTCCTTCCTTCTCTTTGTCACACCTTCTATACTTTTTCTCAAATAGTTAATTTCACAACACGTTATCAGCATGAATAACTTTTGATGTTGCACTTAGAGTTAGAGACGAATTATCCTGGAAATTGATCATCTTAAATTAAATGGGAAGTTTAGTTTCATGTCATTGTTATTTTGATTAACTTGTTACTTTTATTGAGTTGACGTAGTTGATAACTGATGCCTCTTGCATATTCTTTAAGAAGTATTCTGAATTTGGTAAAGTTGCAGTCTATGTTGATGACTTGAATCTCACTAATCTTGGAAGAGCATAAGAAAATTGCTTCACACCTAAAGTTGGAATTTGAGATAAAGGATATCACAACTTGAAGTTCGAGTGTTGTTTCTGACGGCAGTCTGCTCTACTTGTCGAACCACACCCAAAAGGTGTTGCTTTTTTAGTGTACCTATGATTACCCAAATGCTAGATGCAAATGAGATCCTTGAAGATGTTTAGAACCCAAAGTTCCATATCTAAATTCAATTTGCGTTTTATTGTACTTAGCTTATTACATTAGGCATGATATGTCTTTTGCTGTTGATCTGTTGGTAAAGATAGAACATTGTTTTTTCTGAGTATATTCATCAATTGCTAGTTAGATTCGTTTGTGGTTAACTCTTTTTTACTCTTACAACACATATTGTCCAACAGTGATTGTAAGTACAATCAATATTTAATAGAAATTTGGTTATTTTTCTTTCTTATTTACGAGGCAAAATTCGGGTTAATTATACAAATATCTCTTGAGGTTTTTCATGTTTTCACAAAAAAATTCCTTATGTATAAATCAGTACACTAACACTGTACGAGGCTTTAATTCACTTCTACATAACCCCTTTAAGGACATATTTACCATTTTAATTAATTATCTAAAATAAAAAAAAATCTTATTTATAACAGAAAAAGATTAATATTACATTAAACATTTAAACAAACAAAATAAACCCTATGCATCTCCTAAACCCTAGTCCTGCATCTTCTTCTTCCCCTCCCTCCCATATTTGTTTTCCAGCAACCATCTCTCTCTCTAGTTCTTTATTTGGTTTCGACCATCTGCCGTTGTGGCTTTTGTGTGTGTGACAATAATGGATATTTTTTTTAGTCGAACGATAGTGTTAGTAAGTTAGATGTTAGACGGGATTCAAACTCACGTTATCATGCAATAGCACAATATTTTTCTACCACTGTGGTAAAGAGCCACTTGCATGATCATAATCGATTTGACATTCTTGAAACATAATCTATTATGTTAATTAGGAGTGCTAGTCACTCTCTCTTTCCCAATTTCAGCCTTTTCAAATCGGCAACCAACCGAAAACAATTATAAAAAAAAAAAAAAAAAAAAAGAACTGAAATTTCTAGCCATTTCAATTCTCGTCAAATAAAAAACAATTGAAAACAATGAAGCTGAGATAATGGGATCACCCCGGCTTGCATAGAAAGAATTATAGCCTTCATTTCCCCTTTTTTTTATGTTTAACTTAAAATATTAATTTGATTTTTTTAATATTTATTTATAAAAGTTGTTTTTTATTTTTAAATAATTAATTAAAAGGGTAAATTTGTCCATGTGGAAGTGATTAAAACCTCAGAAGTATTAGCGTAATATTTTAAAACTAAAGTACTTTTGTAAAAAAAAGAAAAATCTCAAGAAGTGTTTGTGTAATTAACCTGATAAAATTCACATTAACAAAGAATATGGGTCTTTTTTCATATTATCATTGTTTAGCATTTGCACAAATAACATAAAAATAATTTGTCTCACCAAGCTTGAGGATTAAAAAATGTCTAACATTCGTTTATAAATTAATGAACGCGTGTCAAGAGACTAGTTTACTTTAATTTCCCAAATTGTCGTTAAACCACAATAGAAAACTGCACTTAATTTACATATTTGACCAAATATTTCATACATTCCCTAATCCCTTGCATTATCTTGGGGGCATTGTAGAAACTTCACATTCGCAACCATACAAAATACCCATCGAAGTAATTCCAGATAGGCTTTAGCGGATGAGGCGCGCCAAAACGTCTCTGCAACTCCCAACTTCAAGCTCCAGCCATGGCATTCCCTCTATCCTCCACAATCGTCTCTCACAAGCTATCTCTCAATATTTCCATTGCTCCCTCTACTCGAAGGCAGAATCTGAAGCCAACCCATTTCATATTTTGCTTTAATCGGAAAACTCCAGAAAGATCAGGCCTCTCCAGGGTTCATTGCATGTCCAATAACAATCACCCAAAGGTTGGTCTTGATCCTAGTCATACAGTTGATCTTTTGAAATTCTCGTTTTTGGATTTTCGAAACCTCTCAAATTGTTGTGAAATTGTGATTTTTATGTGAATTGTGATGCCTACATTGTTGGAATCATTGTAGTAATGTAGGTCTTTTATGTAGTTTTATTATATTTATGGTAGTTTTGGTTAGTTTGAATTTGGGTTTTGCGACGGCGATATATGAAAGAGAAAGTCTACATTTGTAGTTCTTGGCCTCGTTTGTTTGATAGGATTAGCTTGGATAGAACTATAAGGCATTTTGAAAGAAGAATGGGTGAAAAAGTTTCATATTTTGTCCAAGTTGAAGGGTACTCATGAAGAAAAGATATTTCTAGTTCCCCACTAATCTCCACAAAATGATAGGTTTAAAAATGAAAACTTTTCTTCATGAGTAACCTTCAACTTTGACAAAATAGGACGACGTCATCCATTTCTTCCTTCAAAATGCCTTATATATAGTGAAGAGTCATATCCAATCTAATCGCTAATCCTCCCTAACAAACGAGGCCCTTTGGTATTAAAATATTATGTTCTTCTCCTCTTTAGTGTTTTTATTAAATTCAGATTCTTTGAATTCATGCTGAACTAATGGCGGTTATGTAAGGGCTGCATCCCAATTGAGAGTGCTACAATTTAGGACTTTGAAATTTATTGAGGCAAATTTTCACTTTATACAATTGGAAAAGCTTTTTAATTGGTCCCCTTCACCAGATTATAATGTAAGTTGTACTCTTAGCACATGCATTCAGGCATGTAGTTTCACTAGTGGCAGGGGCTGTAGACTTCATTGCATCCACCACTTGAATTTACGGTATGGGGTTGGCTCAAGTACTAGAATGTTACCACAAATTCTTGGTGTGTGGAACATGCCAATTCCTATTCTCTTAAATACTATTTTTTGTCTGATTTTTTTTTTCACTGGATCTGTCATGAAATGTTTGGTATCAATGATTACTGCATGGACCTAACTGAAGTAAGTTTTTTCCGCATCATATTTACCTTGTTTGATATAAGATGGTCATAAGTTCAATAGTTATGGTGAACAACACAATGCAGTAAACTATATTCTGGAAGAACGTTCGTTTCTTTTTACTGGGGTATGCTTTATAAATATAAATTTTTTATTTGTTTCTGTCCGTTCTTGTAATTATTATATTTTCAAAAGTTAGTGTTATGCTATTATACTGACTTTTACTTGCCACGACAAGGGAGTCAAATGTAGCCCAGTGACTTACCTTTCTCAGTGGCTTAAGATTTTTAAGTCCTCATTTGTTAGGAATATATAGAACTATTTCTGTTTGTGAGGTCTTTCTTTCTTTGACACGGGCTTTCAGTCATGCAGGAACTCAAAGATCAGCATAGTACTCTTACCAATTCCTCCACATCAACTTCTCCACTTAAAAACAAATTTGAAAGTCTAATTGCTGTGATCCTTGTGTTTGTCCAAATATCTTCTCCACTTCCTTTGGTTGGTTGGGACGTTTTGCCCATATTGTCACCTGCAAATGCAGTTCTTTATTCACCAGACACCAAGGTTCCTAGAACAGGGGAACTGGCTTTAAGGAGGGCTATCCCTGCAAACATGAACATGAAAACCATACAGGTAGGTTCTTGTTGATTATTGATTCAAATAAATGATCTCTTGCCTTTGACATTAATCTGTTTTGGATCATCTTACTTCCATTTCTAGGACTCTCTGGAAGAGATTTTGTACCTGCTAAGAATTCCACAGAGAAAGCCTTATGGAACCATGGAGGGAAATGTGAAGAAAGCTTTAAAGGTATCTACATAATACATATTTAGAATTTAAAAGAAACTTTTTTAGATGGAATGCATATGATGCGTTAGTTACAGAGGGAAGTAACTGTTAATGAAGGATAGGTTATAGTTTCTTGCTATAGATTGGATTGTTATCAAAATTAGTGTTATTTAAGAGATTTTTCCTTCTTTTCTAGCTGTCACGGCTGTTCTCTATCATTTTATTTTAAAACATTGTCATATTTTGAGATCTCCGATCCGCCAAAGGCCTCAAGCATGCCCACCGGCCAGAAAACTATGTGCTGATTACTCAAATTTTCCCCTATATTGATTGTATTGTGAAGAGCTTTAAAATATAGAAGCCATGTTCTCTTTTCAGTAGTTCTATTCTGCAATTTGTAAGTTGAATTTTTGCAACTTGCTACATGGCAATGTCTGATGTGCATGTGCCACTTTCTATCATGCATCTACTGTGGTATCTGTTCAGTTATTACTTATATATTACATGTATCTATGTTTTTAGCAGTTGGACTTTACAATTTCTGAATTATATTTCCATATATTAGATAGCAACAGACGAAAAGGATACAATTCTGGCAAGTGTACCAACAAACTTGAGGGAGAAGGGTTCCACATTATATGCATCTCTTATTGATGGAAAGGTATGCGAATGTCCCTTTGCAAGAAAGAAAAAAATCATTACAAGGCTATTATCAAAATATCAACTTCTCCTGTGTCTCATGAGCACGTATGATATAATAGAAGAAGAAAAGCATTGAAATGATTGTTATGAGGGTTTCAATGTTAAGTTTAACAATTTATCTTTTTGGATTTTTTTTTTTTTTTGGAATTGTAATATTTCACTTGACAATTGTTTTTATGTGATATACTGTCATTTTTAAGGAATTGGTCAGGTGCCAAATTCTAATTTTGTAAGGAAAAGCTTGTTTGCATTCCTCTAAATATATTAGATTATTACTCTTTCTGCATTCTTGCTGCTCATAATAAACTATGGGGAAGAAAAGAAACAGGATGGTTCTGCATGTTAGTTCTCATAACTAGGACAACTTGGTCATTATCCGAAACTATAAGAATGTTTTTTAATTTGCCTTAGTTTGCCAGAACGGATTGCAAGCTCTTCTTCAATGTATAAAGGATAAGGACCCAGATAAAGTATCAGTATACCTTGCATCTTCACTGGATACAATTGCAGAGCTGGAGTTATTGCAGGTACCCACAACCAATCAATAACATAAGATTCAGTCGTTTTCCTGATCCTTTTTTGTTGGTCTTATTGGACCCTGGTGTTTTTTGTTCTTTCGGTTTTGCCCTCTTTTGGTTAATTTCTTATGATTATGAAAAAAAACATTATATCCTCCTTTTTATGCTAGATAACTATATATCTGAATCAACAAATGGAAGCCTCATCTGAAGCTACGGGAATAATTCCTAAAAGTTATTTTAGGAAACATGCAATTTTTATTATATTTTGCCCATGTTACATTGAACAGATAGTTATTTTATTCAGACAATATGACATGCCTAAAATTACAACTGGATTATTTTATTCAGACAATATGACATGCCTAAAATTACAACTTGATATTGTTCACAACAGGCTCCAGGCTTGTCATTTTTGCTGCCCGAGCAGTACCAGAGATACCCAAGGTCGCTCTTTTCTCAACAGTGTTTTCCTTTTTATGTATCGTTGTCTGTTTGGGGGATCATATTTTAGTCAAATAAAAATTCAAAATTAAACTTTTTAGTACTTATCAATTCAAACACCTCTTTACAAGACATGTGGGTATACTATTTAATTTTTGATAAATTTGTCATTATAAAAATCATGTTGAAATTAGTTCGTGTATCTGATAGAGTTTCTACCAAGCCCTATAAATTGATGTTAGTTTTGTTAGCTTGATATCTTGGTCCATTCTTTACTAACCTAAGTTAAGATTCCGGTTGGATTTTAAGAATCTAACATGGTATCAGATCTCTGATTGTAGGAGATGGAGAGCCTAGGTTGAAACTTTCAATCCCCTGTTCCCCACTTCTTTGTTGATTCGTAAGGTGCAGGATGGGGCTGCACCTGTGTTTATATCTATATTTTTCTGCCTTTCTGTGTGCCAGATAGTGTTGTACCTGAAGGAGGGTTAGCTTGCAATATATTGTTGGCCCATTCCTGAGTTCCTCAGTAACAACTTAAGTTATGGGGGCGGAGTGCTTGTCTAACACTTTTGAAGCGGGTTCTTTAGAGCTTGTTGTTTCATATGTAGTATAGGTCCCTAGAGTAAGGATGATATAATGATGCTAAGTGATAGAACTTAAAATATATGAGTTTTCCAGTAAGTCCATAGGAATTTCATCGACGCTTTACTAAAGTTAAAATATTATTTCTACCTCGCAAAACTATGCTTGAAAGACCTCCAAATGTGTGGTAATTTGGTAAATAGACTTTGCAAGGACATCATCTGTGTTGTAAGTAGAGTATCAATATTTTGTTTTGAGACATGTAGGCTTATAGGGAGAGGAACTGTTGAACTTACAATTGAGAAAGGTGATGGTTCGACATTTTCTCCAGAAGCTGGTGGTGAAGCAAGAAAGACTGCTACAATTCAGGTATAAAATATTGCACATTTGGGTAACAGATAACTGTATGCCCTATCTGGAATCTTCTAATATTATTCTTTCTTATATTTTTTGTTTTGCATTAGTTCTGGTTGATATTAATGCAGTTTCTTGGTGAATGAGACAAAATAGTCTACTAATAGTGTTATTTTGGAAACTATTTTCACTCCATCGAGGCTTGATATGCTTTATATACTATATACTTGAAATAATATTTGGTTGTGGAAGTTGATGCCTATAAGTTGGCCAGAATTCATTGACAACTGTTATAAAATCTGGAAATATGGGGAATGTCATATTTGGCTTGTTGTGTTCATTTACTTTCATGTTTATTTGTTGAATTTGATTACCATTACTTTTAGCATTATAATTTATACCAAGGTAACTTATATACATCTTATAACAGATTTTGTAAGTCAGTGTATTAGAATATGAATCAGTTTTCATTTATCCTAGGATTTCAAGTCAAATACATTTATGTTACATACTTACATTACATGCTTGATAACAATGACTGAATGGGGCGGGGATTAACAGTAGGAAGCAATAAGTATTCATCTGATCAGTAAACCTTTGTACAGGTTGTTATAGATGGATATTCAGCACCGCTAACAGCTGGAAATTTTGCAAAACTGGTAAGGTATTTGAACCTCCCATTGACTAATTTATTGTTTATACCATGATTGTAATTCTTGCTTCTTAGGGTGACACCCTGAGCTAACAAGGCTCCCTGCTTTGTGGGTCCCACCAGGGTGTTGTTTTTTGTTTTTTTTTTGGGGGGGGGGGGGGGTGTGGGGGACGTTTATCATACTACCCTTGCTTTGCAAAGAATCTGTTTCCACGACTCGTATCTGTGATCTTTCGGTCAGAAGGAGAAACCCTTCCCTTGATCCAAGGCTCACCCTCATTGTAATTCTTGCTAAATCATGTATTATCTTATCACATGATGTGGAACCGTCTCATTTTTCTTTTTATGCTATAAACTATCAATGAAAGTCCAATTATATCAAGGCTTTTGGTATCGAGCAGTTCAGTTGATGCCATCTAAATTTAAGTCTTCGTTTGCAATAGTGGCATAGTGATTATGAATTTGTATTGAGTTTCATATGATTTTACCCAGATGAAGCATGCATAAACATCCAAATTTCTTCAGGTAATTGATGAGGCATACACTGGGACAATGCTCAGCTCTACCGACCAAGCTATTCTCTCATACAGTGGCCTTGACAAGAACAGTGGTATCAGTGTTCCTCTAGAGATAAAGCCATCTGGGCAATTTGAGCCCTTGTACAAAACAAAATTAGATGTGCAGGTATCTTTATCCCTTGTACTATTACAACTCCGTCATTTTTGATCAACAAAATGATTTTCCTGTATGCAATTGTTTTTGTTAGTTGATTCACGTGTACTTTGTTTTTGTTTGTTCTTTTTCTCTCATGGAAGGATGGGGAGTTGCCAGTTCTTCCACTATCTGTTTACGGAGCAGTTGCAATGGCACATAGTGAAGTCTCTGACGAGTACTCATCACCATATCAGTTTTTCTTCTATCTGTATGATAAGCGAAATGTAAGTCAACACAGCACCAATGTTTAAATTAATTAAACAACGACCTTGGGCTTTGACAATCTTTAGAGTAACCATAAAGTGTTTTGAACATCGAATCCATCAGTAGTTTCAGAATTCTTCCATCTGAAAGTGACTTTGTTGTTTCTTCATGTCCTATAGGCTGGCTTGGGAGGATTATCATTTGATGAAGGAGAATTCTCAGTTTTCGGGTATTTTTTTTGACTACTAAACTGTTCTTGTAGGGGGTTAAACTCGGGTTTTAAAAAAATGATTCTGGGTTCTTTACTTTTCGGTCATTAGTCATTAGCCATTACATACATTTTTAATAGGCCTTTTTAATGTGTAGATACACAACTGTTGGGAAAGATATTCTTTCACAGATAAAAACCGGAGATGTGATCCGATCTGCAAAACTGGTCGAAGGTCAAGATCGTCTTGTATTGCCAGAATGACAAGTGATTATTGTTGTCTTATCAACCCAGGAATCTCCTTCATTCTTTGTATTTGATGTATTTCAGAAGGAAGCAGACTGATTTTCTTGCTGCAGATTGTGCTGTCAAAGTTTGTGTAATCTGTTTTTTTTCTTCCATCTGAAGTTGAAGGTTCTCTTGTTAACATTGGAAAAACTTGCCCAAGGGTTTGACATCTTTCTTTGTTTATTCTTCACCCGAACCTCCAATTTTTTCTCCTTTTATCTAGTAAATTTTCATTTTCTTCCCTCTGTAAAGATTTGGAAAATTAATTTTAGTTGTTTTTTCTTCTTTAACGTCATTTACGTTATGTCTCGTTTGTTATCTAGGATTGGATTAGATTGGATAATTTGGACAGCTCATTAGATTCATCCTATATTGAATGAGGAAATGAAAGCCGGCTTTTAAATTTTTGTATAAAGAGAAAACATTGAGGTTTTGTTTAAGTTGAAGGTAGTAGGTGAACGAACCATGAAGGAAGCTTATTTGTCCCAATCAAATTATTAGGCAAGACTTTAATTCTTGGAATGATCTACACTCTCAACATGCCTCGTCATAATTAGGTCATTTAAGCCGAATGCATATGGGGAAATACATTTTGGTTGACAGTTACATTATTACAATGTGAGCATCCAACATCGACTATATTAGCGATAGTTAAAGACGCTCAAGATTGTTTAAACTATTAAAACTCTGATTCCTCAATGTGTGGTTCATACTCATTCGACGAGACAAAACTGAACCAATCATATTCCATGAATGAAATAACAAAAACTTTGAGAAACAACAAAACAAGACTATACATTTGTGTTAAGGAGGACCATGGAAACTTGAATGGCATACAAAATTGCAGCCAAAAATATGTGTTGCAAAGTTATCTGGAATCTATCTGGAATCGATTAACTGGTATCAGATTTTAGAGAGATGTGGCCTTCATTTCCAGAGTGCGCATGGGCTGAGTTCATGGGTCCAAGGGGCCCACAACCATGTGGATAATAAATTTGGAGGAGTACGTTGGGATACAGGGGACCCACAAAAATTACGTTGAGTAAGTGTCTGGGAGACTCATGCTGTCCAAGGATCTCGCAGGAACCACGAAGCAAGGCTGAATTTTGGCCTTTGTGTCCAATGAATTCCGTATTACAAAAAATAAAAATAAAGGCCTAATTACTTTTTGGGAAGTTCTGATTACGCCCAAAAATGATCTCTGGACACCAATTTTTTTGTTAGTGTTATGGTATTAAGGAGTTAGATAGTTAGTGGTTAAGCGGGATAAGTTGGTGGGGATTAAACTTGCACTAGGGATATAGAAAAAATTATTTTTCTACGGTAAAAGCATCATTTACATAAATATAGAAGATTTTAAAATAAAGATTTGACTAAGTTTTTTGTGCTTGAAACTTGGAATCGGAAATAACTCAAAACAAATAGATATGTTAAGGAACGAAGTATTAAACCTTCAGAGCTTGTAGATGCTATATTCATACATTACAACTTCAATATTGACATCACAAGTGTAGCGCTTATTCAAAAAACTCTTCTATCGAAAGTGAAAGGAAACTGGATTTTTCACCGGAAATTTGCAGAAATGATTAGTACCGAAAATCATACCAAAATTATAATCTAGGCTAATTTGAGGGCGTAGAGTTTGAATATCACCTTTGGCAGGCCTAATAGTGGAAAGGCCTGAAATCGACCGGACGAGTCTTTGGCTTTGGATCTCTTCGCTTTCGAGGTAAATTCGAGCTTGCAAAGCTCGAATCTTGGTATAAGGATAAAAGAGTAGCACGACGTCGTTCTCTTGGGAATATTCAGGTCAACGTCCAATTATTTGCATCTCTCAAATTTGTTAATTTATCCATTTTTTCTGGTTAAACAAACAATCATTTTTTTCATGTGGCCTGCATTTCATCACCATGTTCTCCCTAAAAATATCAACATCCTGAACATCGCACCGCACCATAAAAATCTACACCACATTCTTTTCACCAATTAAAATATTACACGATTACATCCCTCTTCAAGATCAATCTCAAAACCTCCATCCACCGTTCATCCCAAACCATCTACAAGCCCAACGGCTGCCTAACCTGAAATCATACTCCCTAACGCACTTGATTATAGCCCCCCGCCACTGCTACCATATGAAAACCAAACGTATTTCCCCATTCCAACGCGGCGAGATACAAATTTCAGACTCTACTAGGTGCCCCCCTCCCTCCGACTCAGTCCCAACGGTCAGCCATGGCCGCCATACACTCCATAGCTGCTCAGAGCTTCCCCTCTCTCCCAAACCCCAAACCCAGAAAACCCATTGCCGCTCACGTAAAACCCATCTTGACCTGCGCTTTTCCCACCTCCAAACTCCCAAAAAACCCAACTTTCACGAGAAACAAACAGAAAAGCAGGTGGGTTTTGAACTCGGTGGTCGAGCGAGAAGAGTGCGATGTGATTCCGGTTCAGAGCTCCAACCGTACGGACCAGCAGGAAGGGGTGGTGGCGAGCAGGGTGGAGAGCGAAGGCGGGGATCAGGGGGAGTTGGTGAGTCAGGTGGGCGGGTTCGGAGCGAGTGAGGGGAGGTTTTCGTTTGAAGGGCCTGGTGGGTTTGGGTCTTCTGGGGTTGGAAGTGAGAGGGAGAGTGAGGAATTTGAGAGGCTGGTGGATAGAACTATCAATGCCGCTATTGTGCTTGCAGCTGGTACTTTTGCTCTCACTAAGTTGATCACCGTCGACCAGGATTACTGGCATGTAAGTCCATCTATCTAGTACTTGATTACTGTTTAATTATATTCAAAGAGATTAATTGCCAATTTGCCATTTTATTTGTTTTCATGTGTTTGTATGTGAGAACTTGATGTGAATTATGTTAAGGAAGATGTGTTTTGGACTTGGTTCTTAGTAAAGTTTAGTTCGATTTCGTTTTTCCTTCTAGTTCTTTGAAGTTGCTTATTTTTCTATGGTAATTAACATTGGGCACTTTTACACTCAGGTTTTATCAATTGCCTGTAGTGCTTTTTTTTACTTTGAGTCTAAAGATTTAGAATTTGCAGTTTACTTGGTGGATTAAAGTTGAGCTGATCAGCTAATAGCTATGCCTTTGTGGAGCAGGTTGTCTGTCTTATGATAAGTTGTGAATGTGTTGGATGGATGATGTATATTTAGATAACCTGTTGTTATCGTTATATGACCATCATGAGAAGGCAAGAGTGAGGGGATGTTCTTTTGAAGGACCACAATTATTCAAACTTGTTAAATCCAAAGGGAAACATGATCTGAAAATGTTATGTCGTATCAGGGTTGATTTTTCACTATAGAATGACAATCATGGGGAGAAACTAGGTTACTAGGTCACAGAATAGTAGAGATGGAACAAGCATGGTGAGATAAATGAGTTGCTTGTGAGGATGGAGAACAAAAATAAAACTGAATTAGATGTAAATGATTGATGGGGGACATGGAGATTACTGCCATTTCTGAAGTTGAATTTGGTGTAGAGGTCCTGTCTCTTATGGTTAGAGCCGTATTAAGGATGAAGCAATTGGCTCTGGCCGTGTAGTTTGAAGTTATCTTTAGAAAATTTCGTCATAGGTTCTGATTTGTGATTGAATGTCTCAAACCATTTATTTATATAGGGTTGGCTCTGCTTCATTTTATAATTTTCGTTTCTATGTCCACTGCGCTTTTAGCAATTTTTCTGATGGGATTTATGTGTTGGTACTCTTTTCAGGGTTGGACTCTATATGAGATCCTCAGATACGCACCTCAACACAACTGGAGTGCTTATGAGGACGCTCTCAAGACTAACCCAGTTTTAGCCAAAATGGTGATTAGTGGTGTGGTGTACTCTGTAGGGGACTGGATTGCACAGGTGTGTTGCTGTTGTGAAGTAAAAATTTTAATTCCTACTGCTGGTGAAGTTAGTTCTTAACAGTGCATAATGCTTGTTTTATTTTTTTATTTTTTTTTGTCAAAGCATAATGCTTGTTTTATGATTTTTGTAGTGCTTTGAAGGAAAACCTCTATTTGAGTTTGACCGTACACGAATGCTCAGGTCAGGTCTTGTTGGATTTACTCTCCATGGTTCCCTCTCTCACTACTATTACCAGTTTTGTGAGGTAAAGTTCTTCTGCAGTTGTTTGGCAATTTTTATTGTAGAAATTCCTATGGTTCCTTAAACACTGAAACTTATTTCAGGAGCTTATTCCCTTCCAAGACTGGTGGGTGGTTCCTGCCAAAGTAGCCTTTGACCAAACTGTATGGGCAGCAATTTGGAACAGCATTTACTTTACAGTAGTGGGATTTCTGCGTTTTGAATCTCCCATCAGTATTTTTAGTGAACTGACAGCGACATTTTGGCCAATGCTAACAGTAAGAGAACCTTCTGCCTTTTTGTTTTTAAGAATTACTATCTTTTCATGCTCTCTTTAGTGCTTAGAGTCAAACGACTTGAAATTTAATTTATTCTATATGTCCTCTAGCTTGTGGACATTTGGAAATCGGGATCGTCCAAAGTCTTTGATCAATTTGAACCTGAATCGTTGGTTTTATACGATAATTATAGCAAGGTTCTGTCAGTTGTCAATCAAAAAATGTTTGTGTATTCAACTATATATTGGCATGCATATTTGTGTCAGCTGTTACCTGTCCATGTAGTGTTAACACTTTTTCCGTTGTGATGTAGTTTTAACCTTGGAATAAGAGTTGTGTGCCATTTATCTTGTCAATAGGCCTAGCCTTTAACTATGATCTTTGACCTTACCTTGGGTTGTTAGAAATGTTGTCCAAATGAACGTTACTCTATTTTGTCCTAATGTTTTATCTAGTGGGTATTGTTTCAAAGAAAATTAGAATTTTATCTTTTACAGAATTACATATATTGAGTTTTTATCTTTAAACAATAGTGTTTGCTTTCACTGGCCGTGGCTTAGAATCAGGCAGTGTGCATATATCGTAAAACTTTGTCGACCGTAAACTCCAAAAGGTGCTCTTTCATTCCAAAACATGCATTTTCCTTACTTAAATCGAAAACACACGAGGAAAAGCATGGATATTCAGAGAAATAAATAGTGTTTGTCTTTTATGGACTGGGTCATGTCACATGGTTAAGAGAAATGTAATTGTTCGACCATTGACATATTATGGAATGATTTGTTTTGCAGGCAGGGTGGAAGCTTTGGCCATTTGCGCATCTTGTTACCTATGGTGTGATCCCTGTTGAACAACGGCTCTTATGGGTGGACTGTGTAGAGTTAGTGTGGGTGACTATACTCTCAACGTAAGTACCTAGTATTGATTCTTTTTGTATTTACACTAGTAAGTGGAAAAGATCAGTGATCATGTCTTACTTTCCTCCTCAAAGACAGCTAAATAAGTACCCTTGCTAAAATTCTTCATGCTTTCTTGCTTATTTAGTGTATATATGATACGCATGTTTCTACGGGAATAACGGTTGTCTGGCTGAACTGAATTGTGCGCTGTATTTTGATGTTTTCTTCACAAATTTGAGGTATATGGCAGATAAAGTGTCTACCTTTTTATTTAGTTTAGAGTGAGTCTGGTTTCGAAGGGTCGACCCTAGCAGATACCTTTTTTCCCTATTTAGTGGGGGCCGGGGTGAGGGTGTATTATGCGTCGCTCTTTAGAGGAGACATGCTACGTCCAGTCCACATTTTGTTTTGCTCTCAAATAATATAGGAAACATTTAACCATGAAATTCTTTTTGAATTCAGAAACCTAGGTTTTTGTTGGGTAGTTACAAAGTTCGTTTTTGAGAACTTGTGTTCCTAATGTCGTGCTGCAGCAACTTTTTTCATGTCTTGGGTGGGTTTCATGTCTAACATGGCTTATAATTTCTGTTTGCTAGTTACTCAAATGAAAAATCAGAAGCAAGGATTTCTGAGGCACCAGCTGAAGATATTTCCAGTTCGTCGAACACAAGTCCTCTTGAGGTACTATACAAACTCTTTTGCACTGATTTTCTTGTGTATATAAGAGCTGCAGATTACACTAGTTGCTACAATTTTTTGATTTCTTCCCCCCTACATCAGGAGTAAACAAATTGAAAACGGCCAGAAAATCAGAGACGGATACTTCCATGAGGGAAATTGCTCAATGAGTGTGAAAAACTAAAGATCGACTCCATGAGGACCGTGACGTTGAAGGTGAAGTACCTAGCAATGTGGAAATGTGCCTGGGCAGGTTGATTTTATATATATCACGTGTATACGTTAAGTGCCACCAGTTTCGTTTACATATACATCGAGTTCCTCGTATATAACTTTAGATCATTTACCTAATGTATCTCCCAGAAAAACAAATTAGTGTAAACAGAACATTATATGTATAGTTTGGGAAAGATGGATGGAAATGTTCCCAATTTAGATGCGTTTCCATGTTCTTGATGCGTCTTCTGATTTGACGGTATTGGTTTTTGCTGGTACTAGCCTATCAACACGAGCCTCGTTGTGAGATAGGAGGTTTTACTACTGAACAGTTGTGGAAAAAAAATTGTGGAAGAAGTGGATGCTAGGGTTAACGTTCCCCATTGAATTGAACACTATGTGTCGCAATTAGCTTCGGGGGAGGATCATTTAACTTCCCCGTACAGCAGTTTTACAAAATAATGCACCATGCGTCGCTGCACCATCTGTTGCATCTATGGAAGGTGATTATTCAAGCAAAATCGCCATGTTTCAAGTGGAATGCCTTATTAAAAGGGGTCTGATATCCATACACCTTATTTTATTTTTTACATACCTTTTTAATTTTTGACCGTCGGATCGGATGAATTGAAAAAGATCAACGGATAGAAATTATCAAGAGGTGTGTGAGAAGTAAAATGGAGTGTGTGGATAGCACACCACTATTAAAAAGGGTTGATTTTGTGAAAAATCAATAATAAGTTACAATATTAACAATAGAATAACAATATTTATGTTAATTATAAATAAGTCAATAATGTATTGTGCTCTAAGTCTGATTTCTTCTTCTTCTTCTTCTTCTTCTTTGAGATTTCTCTCTCTATAATTCTTCCATATTTATGAAAAAGATCTCTGCAACCAAAAGACATTGGTTTGCATGACCTCTTTCTTTGTTGTTTCATTAACATCGATTGAAATATTATGGTTGAGGGATTTGCAATTGAGGGATGTGGCGGTGCTAGGGCTTATTTTGGAGAGGATAAGGTGAGGGACCTATAATTGGGGGCTGTGGGTAGGGTGGGTTATGACGGTGTTGGGCCTAATTTTGAGGTGGGGTTAATTTGGAATTTGGGGAGTTGGTGGTTTGAGGTTGAGAGCTTGGAAGTGAGGGAGAGAGAGAAGAGTTGAGGGGAAAAGAGGAAGGATAAGGGATTTTGACCGTTAAATTTGTATCAATGGAAGAGATACATCGGTCGGAGGATCTCTATAAAATTGATCCGGAGAAGATCTAAATCCGTATTTATAATAGCTTAAGCCCATATGACAATCATAGAGAGAGAAAGAGAGAGAATGATAGAAAGGTCAAATTCTAACTATTTTATAATGACTTAAAGCCTATGTTGCATTTATCATTGATCTATGCCTAATTGATAAAAATATATCATTAATTAAGTCCAAAACAAAAACATGTCATTGACATATGGCTTAATAGTAAAGTTTTTATTGACTTTTGGCTAAATTACCTATTAAAAAGTGGGAGGTATTTGATTATATAAATTGAGTTTCTAACAGATCAGGAGAGCTCTCGCTTTATAAGAGTAATATTATTTGTATTATTTCAACTCACCTGCATATTTTGAGCATGACATAAGTAGATTCATCTCTATTAAAAAGATAATACGAATAAATTATTATTTGTGGCTACAACAGCCCACGTGACAAGCTAATATAGTGTCATGACTCTACTAAAATTATAACATATTATGTACCCTCATATTATTTAAATTTAACCAAAGTTACCAACTCTAAGTCTCTAACCCAACATATATGTTGTAATTCGGATGGATATATAACAATTTCCTTAGCAGGTTGTACTGTCACACACTATTTCTTTCATTATGTATGATTATTATTATTATTTTTCAAAATAATTATGATTATTTGAGATGATTCAAATAGTTCCATTCTTTTTCAACATGCATGTCCAGTTAAATTTTATAAAGTATAACTACTTGCCAAAACAAAGCCAATTATCATATTTGCAGGAGAGATGCATTGAGTGAACAAGAATCTTTCACAGTCAAAACTAATATAGGCAGATTGGTGAATAATTAATCATCCTCTATGGAACAAAAAAACAGCAATTAATTAATAAATTAATTACAACAAGCCGAGCCAAATCGGTTTGAATAGTAAAATAAAGGTTTAGCGAGCTCCTCCTTTAAGCCATAGACATGTTAGAAAGCCGACTGGGCATCGGTTGGAAATTCCACCACCGAAGACTTAAGCTACGATTTGGTGTAGGTCTCAATGCCTTCCTCAAAACCTCCTTGTTTGCATAGTTCCTCCTCCACTTTTCGCCACCCGGAGGCACTGCATATCCGTGCCGGCTACACCTGTTCAATCCGGGACGATTCGAGCACGTACATACCTGTTTCCGAGGCCTTGGGGATGATGATGATGAGGGTGGCGCTACCATACAACTCTTGTTTTGAGCAGTGAGTGTTTGTAGCCTTTCTCCAATGTACTTGTAGTGAGGGTTGTTCTTTTGCATTTTGTGAACTTGTAAAGCCAAAGGAGAAGAGAAGAATTGTGCTCTGTGTAATATGATCTTTTGTATATGATATATTTATGTGAATATAACACGAGTAATGTGCCTGGCCTGTGGAGATATATATGATGCTTATACGGTTGTATATGAGTGACTATATTTATAGGGGGAAGACATTTTCCCAGTTCAAAATGGTTGTGCTCTGAGTGTTTGACCAGTCGATTATATATTATATTTCTTGTAATTCCTCCTTCGCTTGGTACCAAATAAAGGAAGGGGATCCCTCTCTGGATCCCTTTTCGCCTAATCCACTTAATCTGGGATCCAGATCGTTGAAATTTGATTCAACAGCTACAAACATGAGGCATCTTTAAAAGTGATAACAACTGTAGCCGTTGGATCAAATTTCAACGGTCCGAATCCCTAACTAGATGAATTAGGTGGAAAGGGATCCGGAGAGATTCCCTCTCCCCAAATGAAGACTTGGTGTAGAATATTGGACTTTTTATATTTTTTTAGTTTTTATGTGCAGGAGGACCAGAAACATTTGAACAGGGAAGTCTTGTCAAAGTTTGATGAATGTTCATAGCATGTATGGGACATGTCAAACACCTTAAATGTAGCACACATTGGGTCCAAGAAGTTGGCTCTGCCTGTTATGACCAAACCTAGTTGCCAGCTTAGAATTGGTGTGGTTCTAGTTTCTCCCAACATTTCCACTAAAATAATATTAGCATCGTGTTATTTTTAACTTGTTTGGGCATGATTACTTTACACATTGGACTATCATATAAGAAATAATTTACACACATTATTTTTTCATATTTTATACATATTTTTAGTCATTAGATTGAACAAATTGAAAAGAAATTAAATATTTGAATTAAAAAAATTGGGCATGAGGTGAAAAATGACGTATAAAAATCACTCCAAATATTATAATAATCAAGAGTTACATTCCCGATTAAGGGAATACACAAAATAATGTATCGTCACCGTATAAATTTCATAATTAGAAGAGTTCAATTTTAAAATTTTTGTTTTTATGATTATTTTTACAAAAAAATCAATCGATTGGAAGATCATTAGTCGTCCATATGTATCAAATAAATAAATGGTTCATCATGGCTAGATGATCTTTGATCCGAATGTTTTTTATTTTATAAAAATGATCGTCAAACAAAGATTAAGAAATTAAACGATTTCAATTATGAAATTTAGACAGTGAAGAAACATTGTTCACAATGAAATAATATATGAGCATTTCCACATAAAGAGATGCAAATATTATCCTTTAAAAATTATCGTTCATACGTGTGTGAGTACTTATTGGTTGGTGATTGAGTAAAACCTCAAAATGAATCAATAATTAACAACCATCTACAAACGTGTGAACGACTGTCATGATTACTACTCCATAATTATGAAACATGCATGCATGATATAAACAAGTTTTGTACCATATGCATTACATAGAACATGGGACTGAATCATTGCCTTCTAATTGGTCTAGCCTACAGGGTATTTTTTTCTGCCTAGAACAACTTCGGAATCAACTGTCAAATGTCGTTGGAAGTTGGACTTTTTATGCCACATTTTTCTAATGAAGACTTTTAGGTCGCTTTGTGCATGTCCATTATCCAAACAGCAAAAAATAAAAAAAATTAAAAAAAAATAAAAAAATAAAAAAAACAAGAAAATGATTTCAATGTGTCGCTTACCATGGATTTTTTACTATTCAATCATGTCCTAAATATGGTTTAGAATTAGTTATGATTGGCTGAGCACCAACTCATTCATTTGAAGCCCCATATTCTTTAGCTGTGAGGACCCTATTCTTAGCCTCTTTAGTAGGAGTGCAACTTTATTTATCTGGTACGAAGATTCGGACCAAATGATAATTTTGGGTTGGTTGGGTTTGAGTTTGTGAGGTGCTAATTCGGTTGTGTCGTTCTTAGCTAAAATACAAGTAAAAAAAGGATTTGGCGATATAAAAACCACTCCAAATGCTGCAATGTAAACTAAACTATAACAAACACAGCTATTTTAATAAGACACATATCATCTTTTAGTTATTAGATCGGTAAAAATCGGACAGTTGAATAATAAACAGTTTCTTCATATGAAATTACAGTTTCTTCATATTAAGTAAATTAGCATTATGTTTCCTCTTAATTCCAATGAGGCCTTAATAATGTGGTAGGTGTCTTGTAACTTAAGATACTTATATTCCCCTCTACATATTATAGACTAGCACATGTGCGTAGTTAATTGGTATTTGAGATATTGGCTCATACCCCTCAACGAGTAAAAGATTACTCTTATATTCATTTTTTATATAAGCGATATTCTCCACTATATTAATCTAAACTATGAAGGGGAGGATTCAAAACTGAGTGGAGAGAGAAAAACACACTGTGCTCTAACCAATTAGCTAAGCCTCAAATTTGCATTCTTATTGTAGTTTGAAATGTTGGGTTACGTGATTGTTATATGGTGGTTAGCTATTGCCATTTATCTTGACAAGGCGGACTTTGTCAACTGTTCCGGTGCCTATCGAATTGACTTATTCCCATAGTACCTTAGATGATCTGATTCAGAATAATTAAGTCATTTTGACTGTGTTGACCAAACTGTATAGACTCTAAGTTGCCCTATCATTATTTAATTCGAATGCATAACTTTGTAGCA